GATGATCTGGATAAATTCAAGTTATGATTTAAAAGCTTAGGATAGTACAGAGTGGTGATAAATATTTTACACTTAGAAATTGTTGTTCAAATATAGGGTGGGGAAGATGTAAGTAGAAGCAGCTTTACTGGGAAGCATTCAGGAATTATTGGGACCAACCCAGGTCTCCATCAAATAGGATGTGGACAAACCAAGCACACTGATCTGGGACACAGAGCACAAACTCAGCCTACATTTTAGCATGCAAAACGCTCCTACCACTCTGTTCAGCTTTGGCTGTGATAAGGCATTCACTCTTGGGAACTGAACAGCAAAGAGGATTTGAACTAACTGGAGAGAGTCCACAAAAGATGAATGAAAAAGATAAAAAGGTTGGAAAACATGACCTATAAAGAAAGGCTGAATATTAGGATTGTTTAGCTTAAACAATGGAAAACTGAAAGAGGCAAATTAACAGCCTAACTATCTAACAGACGGCTGGGAAGAGTAAAGGAAAAAGTTATTTTCAATGTCTGTGAAGCATAGATAAGACTGAAGGTACTTAAACTGTAGTGAGGAAGATTTGGGTTAAATATTAGGATAAGCTTTCTAATTGTAAGAACACTGAAGCACTGAAACAAATTGTCTCTGTGACTGAGGCCCCCAGGAGTTAGCTGGGGACACCACAGCCAGCAACCGTTTCAGCTTGTTGGAGGACAGAAGGGACAAGCTGGCCTTCAGATTTCTGGTCATCTTGCTTTGTGATTCTGTAATACACAAATCAAATCGCTGTTCTTTCTGTAGCATCAGAAAACACACAAATATTTGATCCTTATTCAAACATTCTTCATGCCCCTGTTCCCAGTGCATTACCCTCCTTTGGTAGATTTTAGATACAATCAGCTTTTTCACCATCTCAATTCAGCAACAATCATTGGATGCCAGAGAGAACAGCCCATTTGGGCTGATGCTTCACTCAGCTTTCTCTCGCTATTCCTCCAAAGGGTCATTTCATTTTCCGTCTAAGTCTCTATAAATCCTTCCCAATTAAATATTCAAGTACCATTGGCACTGGTATATAGATCAGTCCTCTTTACTGTCACCTGCACACAATATAAAGATCGTAAAGATCTTTATATGATTTCTCCAAAATACAGAGGATGCAGAACGGAGAAGGCCTTTATCTCGCAATCCGTAGTACTCCATAAAGTCCCTTGGATCACATGGGCATCTTCATTGCCCTTTCATTTAATTTTAAAGGGATAAAAAAGACAAATGCATATATTCCCCCCCTAGGCTTCACTGTGTTCTAGATAGCATGAAATCCTTAACAGAAGAAATACGTGACAGCGAATGTATTTGTAGGCTACTTTTTGAACTGCCTTACACAACTAAGAGCATAAATCTGACTTATCCAGCAGTGTTAAGGATGTCTGGAAACAAGGAATCTCAGGAAACACTGAGATTGCTGGTTTAGGAAACTGAAACAAAGATACTTATTTTGAAAAAAACACTGAGCATGCAGTAACTTCTTAATTTTCTAACCAGAAACTATAAAATTCCATCAGCTGTTATTAAGTACTTAGCTGTCAAGTTTTATAATGTCAGGTTTCATAATATCAGCTGGCTGCGCATCTGTTTTTCCTTAAATATGTAAATTTCTCTCTCAGCTTAGAGCTACAAAAGATGTTCTTAATATTCAAAATTCTGCACAGATGTTGAAAAGTTAAAACAACAGGAAGGATCACTTCCAAACGCATCACTGAACTTTTTTCACTTTCTATATGCTGACCACTTTCTTACCTGTGATTATTCTCAGCAGCAGGCTATCTTGGTTGGCTGTGCTCTTGTGGCGCTCTCAGGACATTTATTTGGACTTGTTGAGCTGTAAACACTCACTTCTGAACAGAATCCAGGACAAATGGTCTACACTGGCTACTACAGGCCAGCTGCTGCTCATGGACATTAAGAAACAGGAAGCTTGGATTTATTCCTCATTAACCTAAAAGAAGGCAAGGAACGTATATTAGGATTATTATATTTTTGCAGGTAATTTTTACCTTTTTTCTATTCCCCAAGGACTCTGCACCATGCACAAGTAAACAAGAGGATGGTGCATACAATTTTTCCACCTTCCCCCAGATCTGCCCCTTGAAATGCCAGAAAGGAACCCATTTGTTACTAAGGTTCTGTGTGATGGATGCTGGGCTGAGAGTTCATTAGGAAGGGGCATGAAAAGTGATTTGCAGGGTGAATCTGAGCAGCTACAAAAGACTCAGAAACAAATATCTGTTCACAGCAAAGCCACATATTTGCTTAATAAAATATCTCCTTCATATACATATCAGTGGGCATTCATTTAATCAACATGGCAAGATTTCATTTTTATGCAAGTAGGTTATCTAATCTATTCAGCTTGTTTTCCCATATGTTTTTCTACCGTGTGGGATCCCAAACTGTCCTCTCTGCCATTGGTACATGCATAGGATGCTCAGAGGCACTGGAAAAAGAGAAACAGGACTATGAAGGTTGACCTATGCTCTGAGATCCCACAACTAACAACACAGAACAAAAAGGCTTTGTACATCATAACTTATACAGGGTGCCACTTATTTCCAAAAAGCACGATCCAGGCATTTTTCTCCATGGTCATGTGAATAAATTCCTGGCTTCCTCACTACTTGTGAACCAGCAGACGCCCCCCAGTGGCGCGAAATTTCCCCTCTAAGAAGTCAATGGCTGTCATTTTAGTGAGATGCAAGAAACTCCCCTCATTAGTGCCTGCTATGGAGAGTACCAGGTGTCTAAATTATTTCAGCAAACGTTGCTTTATTTCTTTTTCTAGCCCAATTTCCTTAGAATCAGCCATGCTAATAACACACTCTATCTCCACAAGCAGGTGTCAGTGCTTCCCAATGCCCATGACTTCATTCACCTCTCTTATGGTGTAAAGCTGTTTCCAATGCCGGTACCAAATGCATTGCTCTTTTGGTGTTGTTCAGCCATTAGCTGTGATCTGACACAGGCCAGGTCTGATAGCAGCACCCCCTCTGTACACCCAGCAGTGATAAAACCTTCCCAGATGTTTGTGATGTGCCGCAATGCCCAGAACTGCCTGGCTGTCTCCCTTCATCTGTGAGCGGCAAAGCAAAGAGCGAGAATAAAAAGTGCCTTGGCTCTGACCCGGGGAAGAATTACTTCCAGTGTATCAGTACTTCGCTTTCATAGACTGCAGAACTTGGACAGAGCTTGCAAAGGCAGGTGCCAAAGCTCCCACGTGCAGGAAAAGGAAAGGCTGATGTGAGCTTCAGGGCATTGCTTTGCTGAGCAAAGTCCCAGGGGTGGGACGGGGAAAAACAGCTGTAGTGCTGTTTGCACTACAGCTCTACGCTGAAGAAAGGAACAGAAAACCTATGTATGGCCAGTATTCCTGTGCTGAGGGACAGAAAAACTGGAGAATGACACGTTTTATTATTTTTATCTTTTCCTAAGAGCTATCAGTGAGCTTTCTCCTGATGCCATCTGCTGGCTGAACTGATGTGGTCTGGCTGGGTTGACCTAAGGAGAGCACCTGTACCAGAAAAGAACTGCAGGGCTTAAGCTGCTGTTACTCATCAGGTCCTCAGCAAACACCACAGAAAAGCCAAACGCAGGTGTTGTAGGATAAAAGAAAATGTTCAGAAATACCTGGCAGATTTTAAAAAAGAAGGAAAAGTAAATATTTAACTATAGCAGATTTGAGAAGTTGATTTGTATTCAACTTGCTCAGATGAAAACTTGCAAAAAGAAATCAGATTGAAAAGTTGTCACTGTCAGAAGCAGAGCTAGTCCCTGTTTTTGCACAGCTTGATACAAAGGCAAATATCTAAGCGGAATTAAAGGAGCCGAATTATCTGAGTGGCAGTCCCAGGTGAAGGAGGTTGCCACATGGGCATTGGATATTTAAGGGGAAAAAAAAAAAAGGACTCGGAACTACAGAGGGTGGCACTGTCTTCATTCTGCCTTTGTACAAATTTTGTCAAAAAGGGCTGCTGATTCCTACTAGCAAGACAGACATTCACTGTCAGAATTTAAACAATAATGTAGGAGGCTGCACAAAAGGTGATTGGCCCAAGCATTTCTGTGGAGGCATAGGAAAATGTTATTTATCACCTATAATCTAACACTTTCACCTTAACCAACAGTGTTCAAAGCTGTTTTTGTGGGGTAAAATGTTGAAAACTATATACATATTTATCTATGAGTATATATCCCTAACCCTACATAGGGTTAGTGTTATATGTACATACATATATATGTTAGGTTATATGCCATAGTTTAGGGTTATATACTAGGTTATATATATACTCACACATATATGTGTAGTTAAAGGCCTGTAGTGCCTGAAAGGGGACCAGCCCAAACTATATATGTAGGGTTAGGGTTATATATACACATACATATAGATATATACTTATGCAATAACTACCCAATTTCTCTATTTCCACTACATGCCAATAACATTCCAATAACACGCCAGACTTCAAAGGATAACTGCTTTGAGAGGTACAGTTTGGGCTGGCCCCCTTACAGGCACTACAGACCTTTAACTTCTGCTGTGAGGATGAGCAATGACAGAGGTGCACATCTGAATGCAGAGTTGTTAGGACCATTCTGGACGGGGTTGCAGATGGAGGGGAAACACTCAGATACACCAGGCATTAACTCTCCAAAGCATGATGATTACTTTCATCCACAAACTGTTCTACTTACAACAACTTAATACATAACACCTAGTTTATTTTACTAATATAAGATGGTAATGCTTGAGTTACATCAGATGCCGTTCAGATTAATTCTTACATCACTGTCACTTACAGATCCTTTCCAGAGGACTGGTTTCTCTCCCATTTCTCTTTCACTGACCTATATGTACATACAGTGGATGTGCACAAGCAGGATCTCCTGCAAAAGGCACTGAATGGAAAATAAATAAACAAATGGCAAACGTTATTTTATCTCTTTATTTTTTTTTTTCCAGAATAGCTTAATATTGAAGCTCAAGTTGTTATTTTCAAGGGACAGAAAAGGGGAAAAGGAAAGGGAGAAGAGAGAAGGTACGAAGACAAATTATTTTATTTAATTTATGGTTTTGTGAGCGGTCACTTTTGGAGGCAACAAAATGTTTTCTTAAAAAAAACAAAACAAAACAAAAAACAAAACCAGCACCATTAAAGAAAGCACGATCCCTGAATTCTAAACAAAACACTGTCTTGAAACAAAAAAACTGCCAAGATGCTTGTTTCCCCCAGCTGGGTTGGGCTGGGTAACACAGCGACGCATAACAGCATTGAACTGTAGCAATCCTGCTGAATTCAACTACACCTCCTTCGGAAGATTCAGAGAACCGTTTTCCAACCTTGTCCCATGGGAATAATATTTTCTTTGGTAGAGGACTGAAGGAGTGTATTTACATCACTGAATGTGGATAGAAAAATATCTACGCATGGCGCACGGTAGGGATCTCCCTACTTAACCTGTATTTCTCATGCATGTGGAGTATGAGTGGATTTCACATTGCTGTTATACTGTAGGAGTAATACTGCCCTATGAAGGCATAGAATGGCTAATGTCAAACAGATGTAAACATTCAGAATACTGACAAAAAAAAAAAAAAAACAGAAAAAAAAAGCCAACAAAAAACATACATACAAAAAACCCTGTACTGAAAATGTGGATTGTGTTAAGTTTCCATAAAGCAGAAAAAATATTTTACAGCAGTACAAGAGAATGATGGCAACAAAGTAAAGCACTTTTCTTGTAACATTCATGAACAGTACAAATACAACAAAGTTATTCTACTGACTAAATTATTCTTTAACTATCAAATATAGTACAAAGCGAAATATTATGTGCTATAAAAGAAGCAGCTCCTTAAATTAGACTAAAAAAACGCTTTTTGTTGCTGTTGGTTTTACAGTGACAAAGCATGATGACCGAAGACAACAGGATTTCATAGACTTGGAAACACTTGGCTACTTGGGTCCATGACAGAGCCACCGAATGTCCCGCAGAGCCCAGAGGACACCCGGCCGTGCTGTGCCAGGAGGCTGGGGAAGTCATTCAGTGCTCAGAGCAGGGCCCCTCACATGCGGCAGCTACAACGATCCCTTTTGGTGGCATTTCTCAGCTCGTGCTTATCCCGGTACTTCACCACACCTTGGAGAAACTGCTCAACCAGAGGCTACAATAACTATTCTGAAATTGTGCGTGTGTTCATAAGGGGAAGGGGGTGCAGCATAAGGTAATTTTACTTCAGAAATTGCATTATAAAGCACCATATGCACCAGCTTAAAAGCCGGGCAAGGAATTGCAGGGCCCTGAAAAACCATCTGCACGTTCCATAGCTTACCCTGACAACATGCACCGCCCTCAATAAGAAAGTCTATAGTACAGAGAATACACCTTTTGCTTTATGGCTCAACCTTGATTTTTGTCTTTTAAACATTGTTTCATGTACTAGACCTCAGCAGGTAAATAAAACGCAAACAGGGAGCATCCAGTTTACCATTTCCTTTTTTTTTCTCTTTTTTTTTTTTCTTTTTTTTCTTTTTTATGTTATTTCAAAGGGAATTTCTGCTTGGAAAACTAGTTCAGAACAGGAACACGCAAATACACACACTGCAAATGCCCTAATGTTATCTGCATAAGTCGCAGGTATGCAATTAACAAAAACAAAGAGGGAGGAAAGAAAAAAGGAGTGTTTCTCCCTTTCACCCAAAAGTGCTGCTTCAGGGGTAGGAGTGGGAGTTAGGAGAGGGCAACAAATTTGGAGATTTACAAAAAAAAAAAAGAAGTAAATAATATGTGCTGGACATTGGAACACGTACGTACACACAGACACAGAGCAGTGTGTTCTCAAGCAATTCTTTCACCACTTTTCAGTGCATAAACTATTAACACCCAATGGTGCAAACTGCACAGTCATAAGAAAACAGAATGACATTGGGCGTGAAGCCCAAAAGAAAAGGAGTCATTCAAAATTAACTTCTAAAGGTGATTGTGTTCTGCTTTAGGACCATAGGTCACTCTTCCCCCAAGCATTTGTGTGATATGAGAATGCAAGAAAGATTTTCAGTCCTACTAAGTGGGTTCCCATATCACTGCAGTTGCTTTTGAATATTTCAATAACCTAAAACTATTTTCTGTAACAACACTTCACAACTGTTGTTAACTAATTGGTCAAATTTATTCCTGGTGCAATTTCAGTGACTGGTGAATGAAAGAAATGGAACTGCACTATGGAAGAGTTTGGTCAGTGGTGTAATACAACATAGCACCATTTAGTCTAATGCCACTTTAAATAACATTTTATCATGACCTCACACATGCAAGTTGCAATCCTGATACAAATATGTCAATCTGACATGAATGAGTTACCTACCACATTAGTCACACTCTTATCCTTTGAACAAAGTAAAACTATTCTTGTGGCTGGAATTTATTTCTGTATGATGTTAGTCAATACAAGAAGTATTTCAAGATGCAAGTACAAACAAATATTGACTTATGTGCTGTGGACAGGAAAACCTGAGCTAGAAATAAGGATTCCCAGCAGGCTAATATAAACACAGGTTATAAGAAGTCTAAGACTGGTCGCTCTCTTCATTTTAAATAGAAGCATCCTACCTATACCAAGTATAAATACAATGCAATACAATTCCAATACAAAGGCTCCTCAAATATGAACTTGATATGCATGAACTGACTACACTCATGCTTACTCATGAGTATTTTCCAGTCGCTATTTTTCCAGCAGCATACCACTGAGTGCAAATTTTCACAGATTACTTCTAGGTTTTTGCTTGGCTGGCATATTGTCTTACGAGGAGACGTGAAAGTGCTGAGAAGCCGTTTCTTAACTCTCATTTCATATTAAGGAGCACTTTTGTATAGAAAAAATATATTATTGTATCAGCAACAAATTTGTTAGTGTAATTATAAATGGCCTTTGTATCACACAGTGTCAAAAATAATATTGATATGTTGCTAATTACAATAAAAGAGAACATCAAGGTGCACCATAGAGCTTCCTATGACAGGAATGTATGTTGTAGATATTCCAGCTCAATGTTAAGACAACAAACGGCATTTATCATGTTTGCAAAAATGGTCCCACAAGGAAATAAATGTGATTCCTCCATTCAGTAGGACCTCACTAATACCAGCGTCACGGAGACCCGTTACATCTTACTAGTAAGTGTGTAAACACAGATTGAATTTAAAAAGTACTGTGTAAAATGTAGTATGCTGTTTCCTAAAATCATTAATTTCCTAAATTCATTCACATTAATTCACAATATTTCAGAATGCCACAGTAACTGCAGCATTATATACTTAAGTAATGCTGAGATCTAAACAGTATTACACCTGATGCACACTTATTACACTCTTATTACATTGCTCTGAGAACTGTGAAAAGAAAACCAGTTTTCTTGAGCAGATTGGAAGGCCTTTGGATTAATGAGGTGCTACTGTAATGGTAAAAATAACATTTCTCTCTGATGCTCACATTTGGGCAGACCCAATCATGTATTAACAGATGGATGATTTGCACTCTACATTCTGTGTTCTTGAAGTGGGAGTGAAAAAAAACCAGGAATTTTCATCTCCCCAGCAACTGCACGTGCTTTATCCCTTTATAATATTTTCCTTTTAGGTGTATAGGGCCCCCAAATTATTGTTTCTCTTATCTGCTGTAATGGTGGCTCACACATATGGAATGCAACTATAGTCCTAAATTTAAATACAGTACTGGATAAATACTGAAGATCACTTTAAAGATGCAGTATCCCTTTAAAAAATGCCTTTTCGCTTTCAAATTTCTAAAATGTAGAGTAAGAGGTCCACATTTCTTTCAGGGGAAAAAAAAAAAAAAGAAAAAGTAGTGCTTAAGAATGATTTTAAGTGACAAAATTCAGATGTTATTTTGAGTAACTCACATAAAAGGAAAAATAACAGATAATCTAGTATTCAATTAATACACAATTAGAATATTTCCTTATTAATTCATCATAAAAATGCATTGATTTTAGACCACAGGACGGCTAAAATATCCAGAACCTATTACATACGTCTGACCCTATATACATTTGGTGCTGACGAACCAAGTGGACAGATTAGAGAGACAAATACAAAGAATATTTGAGGAAACAGGAAAAGAGGCTTCTAATCCCCAGTAGAAAAGTTACTTTCTCAAGACTCTACTGAAGGCAATGTGATTCCAGTGCTGGTCTCACTAACCCATCACTAATACGAGTCTTTCTCAAGGAATCAAGGAGAAGAGATGATAAGTAAGATTTCAGTTCCATAATCTCCAGCAGGCACATGAGGAAACTCTTCTAACGATCTAAATTCCTCATTTTTTGCTAAGTGAGGTGACTATATTTTAGGTCTAGACAGTACAAGTTTTAAAAAAACAATTCAATTAGCAGAAAAACTGCAAAGTAACTGAGAGGCTACCATGACCAATGTGCACACCCTGCCCACATGATGGGCAGCTGGCATGCAGTGTGCAGTTCTGCATAGTACTCAATTTCTCGTAGAGTTAATTTTCCACTGATCTTTAACCGGTAGCTTCTATCAACAATCAAAAAAGTGGGGGAAAATGTGCTGCACTTTGTGCAAATAAATAGGAGCTAGGAATGCCATGCAATAATGCCTTTTTTTTTTTTTTTTTTTAAATCTTTTTATAACAGCATGAATGCTCATAGAAGCTTTGGTGGCAAAGCTCTCAGTTTTTTTTAAACTAGTCCTACAGGTTTCCTCTTCTTTCCTGCAAATGGCACTTAGGCCAGAATAATTGAATTCTGAAAGCACCAAGAGGGGGAAAAAAAATAACAAAAATAAACAGCCAAACAACTAATTGCAAACTGTTAATGGCCTAAACTGTTCCATCCCTCCATTCCTCTGCCTTATTCTCCCGCGTTGACAAGGGATACTGCATCTTTGACCCAGTCTCTACCGTACAACCAGGCAAGCTACACACAGTTTGGAAGGCCCTATGCAGTCATCATGACAGAAGGCGCCACAGCCTTTGCACACGATCATGGCTTTCAGCCTGCAAGAGCATTTCAGTTCCAGTTCATCGGCATTGCTACTGTCAGAAAATTTCTGAACCGGCATCTGCACGTTCTGGTTAGACAGGCCCGTGGCAGCGTTCGAGCCACTTCCTAACATCCCAATCGATTTCTCAATTGCAGATGCTGCCCTTTTGAAGCTTGTGCTACCGAAGTGTATTGTTGGATAACTTCCACAGAGCTGCTGCTGCTGCTGCTGCTGCTGCTGCTGCTGCTGCTGCTGCTGCTGTGGCTGCGGGTGCTGCGTCTGTATTTTTGGAGCAGCAAGTTGGGTAAAAGGCTTCTGTGGCTCAGTGAGTAAATAGGAAGAGAAATCTGCATTCTTTAATGCAAATGTTTTTAACTGTTCTTTCACTTCGTTCTGATCATAGGAAGCTTGTTTCATGCCCAGTTCACAGCTGCTGCTTAAACCTTCCTCAAAAGAAACAGGTTCAGATTTTATATTGCTACAGATGCTTGCTGGCTGAGGCCAACTAAGTCTTTTTGTGGTTTCCATAGTAACTGTCGGTTGTTTTTGATCAGAGGGGACATCTACATTTGGGTGAGAAGGGGGAAGTGGGGGCAGGGGTGGGGGTGGAGGGGGAGGATGCACTAAGGTTTTACTCTGGAGCGTCTGAGAGGCACTGGCAATGTCATCACCTTCCTTAATCTGAATACTAGGGGAAAAGACACTTCCTAGCCTCAGCTGGTGAGCTGCTGTAGAAATATTCCCATCTCCCAAGCTCTTCTGTTCCAGGTGTCTGCTAAAAGCAAATGCATTGCAGCCAGGTGGGCCTTTTGATGTAGCTTGCAACAAAGATGCCGTGGGAATCGGGCCTCTCGCAGCCATGGACATTTGGTAAAAATGCTGTCTATGTGAGGTACTAGCTTCTGCATGAAAGCTGCCGTTTTTATCAATGTGAAATAAGCTCTGCTGGAAACTGCATGAAGGCAATGGCCTCTTCTGCTGCTTGATCTCTGGGCTGTGAGCGATGCGGCTCTGAACTGCATGTTTGTTCAGCCACTCTTGTTTAAATGGCTGCCCATGCCCTAGCTGGTTCATGCTGGAACTAATTACACAAGGAGTTGCTTTAACATCGCTGTCCATTGACACCTTCCCAGGCTCGCATTTAATTTGAGCATGTTCTCCTATAGTCCTGGCCATCCTCTTTTTTGGATGGTTTTCACGCTTTCTGATTTGTAGCGGGGCTATGCTGCCTGCTGTAAATCCTTTACCATCTGGGTTAGGAGAACTGGAAGGATGGTCACCAATATTTCTCTCGGACACCGCTGTTTTACATACTGAGGTAGTTTGCAAAGGCAAGGGAAGCCTGCTAATTTCTAGTTTGGCTCCTGATCTGGGCTGCGGCAGCACTTTCTCTAAAGGCAGATTGCCTTGCAGTAATTGTGTCACTAAAGGATTGTTGGCCTCCACTGATGAGAGGCGACAGCTTGAGCTCCCAGCACTTGTAACTCTTTTGAGGGTTTCTGTTGTCAGGGACAGGGAGTCATCCATGGAATCCGCAATGGGTGCCTTGGCGGCCTGTGCTGGCTGAGCGCTTGGGGCTATTTTTGTGGGTTGGGCGGCCATTTCAGGGCCTGTGAAATCCTCTGTGTCCATCCTGAAGCACTTGTCAGACTCGTTAGTTTCAGATTTAACAGGAACAGCAAGGCTTGTCAAAAGATTCCTGGATTGCAGCTCTGACATTTGCGTATAACCGGAAGGTTCGGTTTTGACACTTTTTAAGCAGTTTTGTTCTGCATATTCCTTATGCTTACTGGCATTAAGATGGCTGACCACCGGCTGGTCTGTGCTCATTGCCTCTTCATCATGCCAACAAATTCTATTGTTAGTGCTATACTGACTGACACAGGCAGCATCTGCTTCATTTTTAAATGCTGAAGGACCTCTTAACTGCTCAGAAAAACCTTGGCTGGGAGTAACCACCTCAATTAATTTATCCTGGGGAGCAAGTGGCACTTCTCGAAGACTTGAACAACCTGCCTGCAAGTTCTTGCTGTCTTGCTTTGCTGTAACGTTGATAAAGCTGGAACTGTGCTCAAGGCTTTCATTAGAGACTACTTCAGGCCTGCTTATTACAGACACCTGAGAACAGGCTATACTTTGTAAGGCAGCTTCTGTCCGCACAGGTCTGCTCTGCAGGTCAGTGCTGTTCTCTGCATTTTCAATTGAAGAAGAAAGCGACAGACTGGAATTCAAATTTGTAGTGTGGTCAACAATGACTTTGCAAGGTATAGATCTATTCATGGCAGTTTGTGTATAGCTCACTGGCTGAGATTTACCCGAGAGATCCATTCGGTTTCGTGCTCCAGAACTTTTGTCTAAGAGATCAGCATTTAATTTAGTAGCATTATCGTAGGAGCTTATTGTCACCATGTTACCAGTAAACATTGAAATGGGTGGCCTTGAGATAGAATCTGCTACTGCAACAGCCTCACCGCAACTTAAAGCTGACCTGACGGTAGTGTGGATGGAAACAGCGCTTTGCTCGTTACACCCTGTTATGGCTATCTTATCAGAAGAAAATCTGGTGGTAGTCCCCACTGGGGGAATCAACACAGAACTACCAGAGAGATGATTTGGCAAGTTATTTGCAATGGATGAAGCTGGCACAGCGGCATAATGACCGGAGACTGCATTATTTGCATTGCTACTTGGTATTGGCAACCTTTTGTCATCGACGGCATTTGATAAAACTGTACTGTCTATGGAGACCGGTACATTACTGTTATCAATACATTTTGGTCCAACGGCTATGCATGGAGTATCAGCCCCTTGGATGGATTTCAGCATTTTTATATTACAAGCTGAAACTGCTGTGTTCACACTGTCAACAGACATTAAAACAGAGGATTTATCAACAGAACTTGCAAAAGAAAGTTCTTTAATTGCTCCAGACATAGCAGTGCTGCAAACAGACACAGAGACTGAACTTTTATTATAAAGCACTGGCACACTGTTCACACTGTTACTTTCAGTAGAGGTAGATGAAATAATTTTCTCACACAATTGTGGCATAGGTATATTCTCATCAGAACTGTGCACCGGTATCTCAATAGCAGTTTCTGGTAATGTAGCTGTGTTAAGTGACTGCTGTAATAAAGTGGTAGTCTCACGGTGATGAGCAGATTTGTTGCTAGGGGACCTGCAGTTAGGATTAACTATAATGACACCGGTAGAACCTTCAATCTTTGTATCAGTAGACGCTGATACTTCTAGAGATGAGGTACTTTCCTTTGAGTTGAACTGTGACTTCGATTCTTTATTAGTCTGGAGTAAATGAGCTCTGGCTTGATGCTTTGCAAATAGCTTGGCCTTTGTTTGTTCCTTGATGTGTGCCAGCGTTCTTGTCTTCCCACCTTCGCATGGAGTCCCCATTGCTCCAGAGACAATGCTTGCAGCTGCGGCCACAGCTGCTGCAGCTGCTGCTTCTCTTTGGGCTCGTGCTTGCTGAGCTCTTGCTTTGATATCTGCAAGAGTTCTAGCCCCAGTGTTCCTTCCACTGCTGACCGATGTACTTGGGGAAACTCGAGGTTCTGGTTTTGAAACAGGTTGGCTCTTGATGATAAAAGGTGGTCCAATTTTTGAAAGTTGAATCTAAAGGAAGAAAAGAAAAACAATAAATTGAATCAGATCAACGACTTTAGTTAGCGTCACTTGTTGTCTCTTACAAGGGTCAGAACAAGGTGATGAAGGGAATTACTGTTCAGTGCCACTGGACAGAAAAATGTTAGAAAGTAATGATGTTTGCACTGCATTATTTTCTCATTGTCCAGCAGCACAAACTGACACCTGTTTTAGCCTACTCATGCTGCTTTCTTGACAGGAGGAAAGACTAAACTGGAGGACTACATGATGCTTATCTGACACAGTTTATCAGTTCTGTTCTATCTGCGTCTAACTGAGAAGATGAACAGGCCTAGTGCAATAATACTGGGAAAGTACTAAGCATTTGCTACAAACACATGAAAAAATAACAACAGTGCAGTGCTTTTGCTCCTTAGCCTCCAGTGACTAAGCCATTAGGAACAGCCTGTATTCCCCTTACATACCAGGCAACAAATCTTGCCTCTAGACAGGATGTAGAAGTAGCACCAGTACAACCACTGAGCTTGTTTTTCACATTATATCACAGAGCACTTTAGAGTACTATAAAAGAAGTGAATCACCAAGGATACATCTTTCTCATCCTCAACTAGAATTTTAAGAAACTCACTTTAGTACATCCCTGGAATACCTCCTACACTACTGCATTTCAAAAACAAAAATCTCAAACCTTCAAACATTAAAAATGCAAACAAGACATTAAATACCAAAACCTTTAAGCAAAGTAATAATCTCTAGAATCACTATGATTATTTGTGTTTTCTAATTAGGCACACCCGCTTTCAGGGTTAGAGATTAGAAATCCTGGAATCACTTTGTAACTTGTATGCTCTTTTAGAATGCCCAAAGCCTGGCAAGAGAACATTTCATTTTTTTAAAAAGGACATAGATTTACTGACTGTCCACAGTAATAGGATTTAGTGTTTAGTGCTATCACTTCTTTCCTGAAAGGAGCTGGAAAAAAAACCTACATAGTATTATTTCTAACAAAAGTAGTCATAAGGTATGACAGCAAGTGAAAGTCTTATCAGATTTAGGAGAAAGGAGGTTCTTTCCTCTCTTTCAATAACAAGCAAAGTGGTTTGTTGGTGAGATAACCCAAAAGCAAATAGTTTTTCCACAAAAAAACCCATCTTGAAATGATCGTTCAAAGTTATTTTTGGAAATGCCTGCCAAGTTTTAATATCCTCATTCACTGCTTGGAGCCATCAGGTTTTGTTTGATATGACTGTGCAAGACTGACGGTCTTCAGACAGCCCAACTGATGGACTCACACAGAGGGCTGGAATATTTCACTCTTCCTAGCAGTTAATGCCACTAAACACTCATCGGAAGGTGAATTCTGATTTTGTTTACCCCTCTTTGGCATATTACATAAGAAATAAGGTTATTATTTGAAACCAACACCTTTCATCGTCAGGTTTGTTCCTCAGTTGTTGAACAGATCAATTAAAATTTATATTAACATATTTTAAAGAGTACTGCAAGCTTACAATAACTTCAAAACATTTTGCTTTCTTTCTCAGTGCCTTTTTTTCCCTCCATTTCCCACTTTGAATCACCAGAACTACTAAAGCTCTAAGTGCTTGATTATTTTTACTATTATAGCCATGACTTTTTTTCTTCCCTAGTGATCTACATTCCTTTGGCTATAGAGAATTAATAGAATTTATTAGGCTAGATAAAGACTTTCCAAATACGAAAGAATATCAGTAAAACTCAGAACAGGCTAACTTCCAATTGCATCACTGCTCATAAAAATAAATTAGTTGAAATAAGCTGCTGCACTAGTGATTAAAACAGTTAGCCTATTTGCCCTCCTGGCCATATTAACCATTTTCAGTGATTGCAGCAGTTAAAAATAAATGCAGAAAAGGGCATTTCTGAATAATCGGGAACTAGTATTGCAAAGTCAGTGACTTAAGTTCAGCAAATTGGATCTGAAATTTGGGTGATGCCATCACGTAGAAAACTAAAAAGGTCAAAACACTGGGACTATATATAACTAAATCAAGAAATCCCTTTGTTAGAAAAAAATGCTTCTCAAGTGGAATAGACGTTCTTACATAGTAGAAGGACACCTTTAAAAGAGCTTAGTTAGAGTACCCTTTTTATCTTTTGCTTTGCCTTCAACAGATATTTATACATACATCAATTTATACATACATCAAAGACACTTCCTCCTGATGGCAAGCTCTGTGGTTTTCACTACAAAATTAGAAATCTTATACTTCAGCCTACCCCAAGCCCTGGACTTGCAATGGGATCTCCAACTACTCTGACTTTAGGTTCTCTTGATAGATTAAGGCACAGATTGTTTTTCTCAGTAATAGCTATGGTTTATTATTCATGTTTCCTGGAGAACTCATCTGTGGGAGAACAAATGGACAATATAGTTGGCAATTAGAAAGAAAGACAAGCAGCACTGAATAAATGACATGGAAGCTCTTCAATCAGATTAAGCCAAAGATTCTGGAAATTTAGTCTCACACAGAGGTGCTCTGTAGCAAAGACCCTGGCTGAACAACTACAGGTATATTTACATCAGATATAATTTGGCATGGTAAGGATAGTAAAGCAAAGAGGTTGGCACTTAGGTCACTTAGGTCTTTCGCACCTGTACAAAAATTCACTATGCTTTGGGTCTGCAGGCAGTCAGCAGAAGGGAAACAGTAAACCTCCAGTTTCTCAGTCAGCATGGTTTTCATTACTTTACCTTAAGGGGTGGAACTCGGGGTTCTTCTCTGAGTGGCTGATCTTTATCAGATGGACTTGTTGATGAAGCACTACGATTAGGCTGATCATCATCTATCCTAGCTCTCTTCTCTTTGCAGATTCCAAAACTGTGCTGTTCTGCTGTTTTCCTCTTTGGGATCTCTGGGTCTCTGCTTTCATTCCTCACTTCAGGTGATTTTGTGGTTTCTAATGATTTGGAGGAATGTGAACTCTCTAGGCGGCTTTGCGTACCGCCTGTTAGCTTATGAGACTTACTTCTGCACACTTCAGAGAATGAAGATTTATCTAGAGATGAGGTATATAGCTTTTCATGTTGCTTTGATGGAAACAGTTCAATATTTTTGCCTGTTGATCCTTCTGGTAAAACAGCTACCTCTGAAGGCAAGAGAGTCCCCTTCTTGTCACTTCGTTGCTGAATACTGTGATTTTTAATTTTGATCACCTCTGGAGGGGAGGAGTGTTCTGGGATGGAAGCAATGTGGGATTTCTCAATTTCAGAATGTGACTTACATGGCTGATGACAAAGGTTTTTGTTTTGGGGCTCTTCCAGTGCTGAAGTATCAGGTATAATTGTTAGTGGACCCACTTTCAAATTTTCAGGTACACTCTGAAGTTGCTTTGGTTGAACAACAAGATTCTCTTCTTGAACCACCTTAGGAATGGTACAGCTTTCTTCTTTTAAGGTAGGGAGTGACTCTTCTGACAGACATGGTGATTTCCTTTGTTGCAAAATAAGTCTTTCGTTGCTTGGGGAATTTGAAATGGGAGATGTTTCTGATGGAAGAGGCAAACTATTTGCCACAGATGTTTCAGAAGTCAGAAGGACAGAAGATACTGAAGATGTTTCTGATGTTATAGGTAAATCAGACATTGGAGATGTTTCTGATGTTAAAGGTAAATTAGAAACTGGCGACGCCTCTAATGTTAAAGGTAAATTTGACATCAGAGATGCTTCTGAGGTTACAGGTGAGGTGGACATTGGAGAGATTTCTGACATTAAAGGTGTATGCAAGTTCTCATCAGTGGCCTTTTGCTGAATATCACCATCAGTGTTTTCAGTACTGGACACTTCAGATGAACAAGCTGTTTCAAGAGATGCTGGGGTACAGGGTTCCTCTGAAGTTGAATGAGTATCTCCTCCAGGAGATGTAATACAAACACATGGTCCTTCTGGACTTCCAGAGGAAAAGGAAGTCTCAGAAATACAAGCATTCTCAGATGACTGTTCCTCAGGGTCACTTTGAAGCTCCATATCCACTGCAATGCCCCCACCAGTGAACAAAGAACCCTCCAGAGCAGCATTTTGCATTTCTGGAGCAATTAGCTCTTTTGCAGAATCAGAATCCTTCTCTACTGTATCACTGACAGAATTTGTGGATGAAGCTGATCGTGCTGGTGATACACAATCCTCCAGCTGATCTATCACAACAGACATCTCCTCCTGAGGGCATTCTGACTTCAACTCCACTTTCATTTCAATGTGAGATGCAGTATCAGTTACATCATTCATCATGACACAGGACTCAGAGTTGTCTGGAAGCTCCACTGCCTCTGTTTCTTCATTTGTTCCAGATGGACTTTCTGACTCCTCAGAAAACTCCTGTTCTGTTTTATAGTTCTCCTCCTGGCATTCACAAATACTAGTCTCAACCTCTTCAGCAACCTCCTCCTGAATTATTGATTCCTCAGGTATCAGTATATCCTCTGTCTCTGCCACTAGATTCTTGACAGGAACCTGCTCCATATCACAAAGCGATGGACCGTTATCTTTTTCTGGTAGTGCTGGAGTTTTAGTGTCTTTTTGTTCATGTTCCTCAAAGGTTGCTTGCTTAGAAGGACCAGGTGTGCCAGAAGATCCACACAAAGAATTGCTGTCATCTTCATTGTTGTTCTGCACTGTAGTGAGTTTCAAAGATTCCCCTCTTGACATTCCCAATCTGAAACAAAGAAACAAACAAATTTATTAAAAAAGGTTTTTTCATCAAAGATATGGTAAAGAAGTAGAATCTCCTTTCTCACTCATGTCTTCCATTTACAAAAAAAGGGCACACTATTCAGTTTAAAATAGTGGTTTGGCTAAGTGGTGGCTGACTAATTTATACAGTTGTAGATATGGCTTTATATATTTTGGAAAATGAATTACCCAGCTTGCCTTAGTAGTGTTAAAAACTTAAATATTTTAAAAATAAATAATCTATTCCTTGTTATTTAACTATTTAGCACTTCAACAAAAAAATAAAAAAAAAAAAGCCACAAAAAAACGCGAGTTATATAGATTCACAACTACTCATATATATATATATATATATCATATATATATCATATATATATGAGTATATATATATAATATATATATTTTAATATCAGCCCAACACTGCAATTCTAACACTGCCAACAATGAAGAGGAAATGCATAACTGTGCCTTCATAAGTCAGTAACAGTTCTAAAGGAAATTCATTTTTTCCTCCTCTACCTGCATTTAGGGTCAACACAACCAGCACTATGGCTTAAATGCTGTGTGAAAATGAAAAAGCTGCATCTAAAACCAAGACAACAAACGAGGCATTTCAGTTTTGCAATTCTACAATCATTTCACATTTATCATGAAAATTAAAATCATTCTGCTTCAGTCTCATTTTACTAGTCAAGCGATCAGCTGACAGCTTGTGTGTTTCTGCTCCATTCTTTCAGCAAACTAAATATTCATTTAGGATAAAAATTATTTCTAAATAAACATTTCTGTGTATATGCTCTTCAATTGATTTCACTGTAATTAACAATAACATTCCTAAGGAGATAAAAGATATTTATAATGAATGCATTCATTTTCAAGGATGAAATGCAAAAAACTGCATTCCTTTGTATACTTGTCTTCTGAAGATTCACTTACCTTTGTTCCTGAAACCACAGTTTTAATACATTTTTATTGCTTCAACAGAAAGAAAAATCAAAACAAAAGAAAAGTCAATGGCGGAAAAAAAGTGGTTATTTTTAAAAACATTTGGTCTTTGACATCCTTATTTCCTGCCATGGACAGCAGAGCAGGTCTTCAAGCACCTTTAGTGAGATCTTCCAAATAAATTTTGCGCTTGAGTGATTCCACAACAGTAGAAAATACACAAAAGTTTCGTTGGAGGACTTAAAAAGTTGTCATGGTCTTAAGGATCTTAAAATCTAATCAAGAGGAGTTTGATCTCTGTTCTCAGTTTAATCACAAAACAAAGTAACTGAATAACAAGATGGCAGTAAGCGAGCGTGAAAGATATTCAGATATTACGGAAGTGAACATACAAGAGAACATGGGCAGCCAGTGGGAACAGAGATTACAGAGGCCCATGTATATGGAAGAACAGAAAAAGTATGTAAAAAGATGCAATCTGTGATTATGCTTTTAAAAAATACTGATCGGATGCATTATTCATGCTGACAGGTGTAAAGAAGAAAATCCACAGCCTGGAACTGGTACGTAAAAAAGCACTCCCAAGGTTGTCATTAATATTGCCTATTGCTAGTCAGTTAATAGGCACAAAGTCTCCCTGTGCCATCAGTGTGCTGAGGGAGGATCCTCCAGAGAGTAATTCAGAACAGCTATTTTACATTCCCCATATTGAATGCATTTCTGAGATACGTCTCTCTTGTATATAGACTATAGGTTCCCTATACAGTTTAAGCTTAGATTTTAAGTGTAGGTGAGTAAAGTTTAATTTACCTGGGTATACGTGAATAAATTCCTTTTCTTGTGCAAATAGGAAAAAGTTATCTCAGGAAAATAAAGAGGGGAAAATATAGTGCATTACAGAAAACAGAGCCACTGTTATATTTTCTCTGGCTAGCTTGCATCATGGAAGATATTGCATGATATTTGTATTTATGGAATGAAAAAACAGCAAAGGAATGAAATACACAATGAAGGTGAATGCAACTGCCACATGGGCACTGCACAAATATACACACTCAAGTAATATATTAAAAAGGAGGAAGTGAAGAAAAATAAGAGTGTAGGATTAAGGTCAGCAGAACACATACTGAATCTCAATCAGTTTTTCAATTTTATGCAGAACTGCAAATATCACTATTCTGAAAAAGATATCGCCATGAAGGAAAAAATACTTTCAAAAGAAGAAGGCTCAAGGTCAGGATGTTTAAGGCAATCCCAGATTGCAAGATAAACAGCTGATCTGTCTTTCTCCTTAGAGAAACAGACATTGAAACTTTGCAAAAGAGCAGAGAAATACAAGAACAGCAGTAAACAGCCATCAGTGAAAAGTGCTGATAAGTACAGGATTCAATTGATAAAGTAAAGGCAGACAGTTATCAAATGGTAAAAGACACAAACAGCTACTCAAGAATATACTAATGCTGATACTCTAGTGTTGCGATAAGTAGTACTAGAGAAAATTAAAGAAAATTAATGAAGGATTATATTAGCAATAAAATTCAGAAGTCTGCCCAAAATGAAACCTTTGATTTAGTGAGCTGGCAGTGCCAATCCCGACACGTATTGCACTCAAGACTGGGAAAGGAAATAATATATTGAGACAATAGAACATAACCCTTGTAGTCCTAGGGGCATAAGCCAGAAGAATACAAATTTCTGGCAACACATATCAGCTGATCCTAGATAAATGACTGCAGAATGAAGTTTCTGTGTTTTAAATTAAATCCAGGAGAGGAAAATGAACGACATGAGAAAATGGAAAATGAACATAAATTGATGAAAGTGAACTACAACTGATAGTCCCATGCCCAGCTGCCTGGGCAGAGAGAGAAACACAAAAAATATAATGCACATAGCCTACATGAAAGAAGCACTCTAAAGCCACTGAATGCCACATAAAAATGTTTTCCAAAACTCTGCATATATTAATGATTCTTCTCTAGGTATGAGGTGAAACTTTAATAAGTTATGGAATGTTTAATGATCAAATTAGCTGAAGTCAGAGCAAGATTGCAGATTGATTGGAAAGCAAGTTAGAAAGAGAGATGACAAATCTGAGAAATTGCTCAGGAAGTTTTCAAAATCAGCTACTTCAGATGAATCAACACGACTGAAAATAGATGAAGCCCAATCATCTTCAAACCAAGTTTAAAAAAAATAACTAAGAATAACTAAGTCAAAAAAGGCAAGGGAAACAGCAGGAAAAGTTACCAGAGAGACAGTAAATAATGGGAAGAATAATTACTACAGGCCAAGCAGCAAAGCAGTAGAAGCTGCCTACATATTAACCAAGAAGAAGGATGAGAGTCAAATAATGTATGTTAGAGAAAGAGCAGGAGGAAACACATTCAACACTCTAGTAAGCAATGGAAATTATGTGTGATATGACATTTTGCATAACAATGCTGATGTCAGGAACTTATCTTCCAAATGACACATATTACTGCAGACTGAGTAATTATCTGCCAACCATTACAGTGTCCAGCATTCAGCTAGCACAGCAGGACTGATGGCTCTGTAAGATTCAGAGTATCATTCTCTGTGCATATGACAGTCATTTGTGTCTTGTCTTCACAACAGTCTTCAAATAGAGCTTTGCTCTTACTAAACTTCTAGTTGTGGAAGGTCCTTTGTTAATACATTACACAACGTTTTCCTTCATAAGGAGACGGTAACTGAGTTGTCTTGATACACATAATGAAAAACCTAAAACCTTAGTAAAAACCTAATAAATACTTTCTGATGCTACAGGAATCAATAAATCGAGGTCTCAAAACTTGTAAGTAAAAAATGAAGCACTTGACAATAACAAAGCAATGCTAAGACCTTAGAATCTCCATTATTTTTAAAGATAACATTGTGTAGTAGTATTCACACATCGAGGAAGCACCTAGAAAGGACTGAAAAATAAAATGTTAAAATGTATCTGTCCATTTCCTGCCTTATTTTCACCACATTTCCGAACATCCCAAAGCACTGGATTGAGAATTAGCAGTGTTATCGCAGAAACATTTCAGCTAATGCCTTATCTTTAAGTCAACCACTCATATTCAGGTTTTCCAGTGTCTCAGATTTCTTAAGCAAAAAGCATCTAATAACAAAACTAAGAAATCTCATGTGATGTTTCTTTTGGCTACTATGTGTAATTCATAAATTTCATTTACTCATATATGAAAATAAGAAAATAGTAACTTCTAATTAATTGTTTTATAATGATGAAGATTTTTAATATGTATTTTTTAAAATTGAAGTCTGATTTAAAAGGTGGACAGATTAACTTTTTAAAAACAAATCTCAAAAGGAAGATTTTACAATTTTTAAGAGATGTGAATCTCTTTGAAATTCTGATTCTTAAAACAGAATTAAGGATTAACGTCACGCTTCTGCAGAATGCCATCTCTGCTTCAGTCAAATCATGCTGACTCTGCGCAGTGGAACACCTGGAGCAATATCATCTAATTCATTTTAGCCAATTATGGGCATCTATTTATCTCTTGCATCTCACTTCTAAAATTAGACTAGTTGTCATTTTTATATGACTCTATCCAGTATCTCTTCCGCTGTACAGTCTGTGTGAAAGGCCATCTCTGTCAAACACTAAGAACTACTTGATTCAAAAAATGACAACTAGCTTAGAAAAAAATGAAGGAAAAAAACCACAAAGAAATATTTCCACTAGTCTTCTAGTCTGAAGAAGCTGTATTTATATTTTGCACTAAGAACAGACCTAATCTCATCTTTTAAAAGATAATTAAAAAATACTCACATGCTTGAGCCTTGTGTCTTAAGCCTTCCTTGAAATGAATTTTTATGGATGAGTTATGAACCTTTAAAAACGCAATTGTAATGCAAGTGCAGATGTGCCACTGTAATTCTACCCACAACTTCTTATATCAGGGAATGATGCCTTTGATAACCATTTTATTAAGTTTTACAGCATATAACTGTGCTATGTGAAGCAGAGAATTATATTTTCATTTGTTCCTAAAAGCATTTTTTTCATTTTCTTTTATTTGCTTCAATACTTACTTTTCACCATAAAACCTTTCAAAGAATTTTTCTTTCCAAGGCTCTGTTTTCTTTTCCTTTTCCATCTCCTGTCTGATACGCAACTGCATTTCTGGTGTAAATTCTCCTACAAAACAAATACTAATATTGAATAAAAGTTGTCGATTAGTTTCATGCATAATTATACATTACAGCTACACAGACGATGAACAGTGATTTCTGATCATCCAACAATCTCCAATGAATACACTGAAAAACAAGAGTGTGAAGTAGCAAGACTTGCTTTACCATGTAACTTCACTATCTTGAAACTATATTGGTGGGATTTAGTCACTTGCATTTACGTTTCCGAGGTTTGGCAGTGATGAAAATGTGTTGTTGTCTTTTTTCCTTTCTAACAGTCAGTATAAACTGTCACAGGAAGTTGTGATAATGTAGACTAAATTCAAAACGGAATCAGCAATGTTCATTTTGCTCAGTTACCATTGCATTACTCTTTCCCTTGTTAATGTAATCCTCAAATGGAGAAGCGGTGGCTTTCCTCATGAAAATAATTATTCTTTGGTAAATCTGAGAGCAAATAAAAAGTTACCTTCTGCCAATCGTTGTTTCCACCCTTGTGCTGCATACGCAAAGAATTCATTGTTTAGAGCAGAACTACTGAGGCGCAAAACTCCATCACTTCCCATCTAGAAAATAAGCCAATAACAGCAAAAGATACTGTCAGATAGAGCGTCATCTAAGATTACATAAAAGTGGAATTCCAATGAAGGGAAGCTGGACAGATAGAAAGTGGAAATAACACAGGAAATGATCTGCTACTACTAAAACTCGTTTTTTCATTATAGTTACTGTAAGCACAAGAGGACTAATCCTGCATCAGTGTGCTCTTTTCAGTTGTAATCAGTCTTCACTATTACTGATGATAACTCAGTTTACAGCTGATGTGTTTCAATCACAACTCTCTCTGTCTTGAGCCTAAGATGTCTAGAGCTGTGGTGCACAGTCAAAAATCAAGCTCATTAATGCACCTGCGCATCTTCCTGGAATACGGTACGAAACAAATTAAATATAATGAAAAAAGAACTTTGCTCTGTTTCTCAGTTTTATGAACATTCATGTTAGCTATTATGCTGTACGGAGAGAAGAGTGGATGATGAGTAACCTTAAAAAATAAGTTAGAACAGCTATACACCTAATTTTACAAGCATCAAAACTGTGGAACTTTGTAGTTATTTTACTTCTTACATCACATTCAATGATATAAAACCATTGAAGGTATCAATTGTAATATTTCTGGAATAATGTTAAAAAGCAATACAAATATCGATCTTTATCATACAACTTGATGCTTGTTTTCAGTTTCTGCAGATATATATGACTTCTGAAGGAATTCTAGCAAGTAATTGAAGGAATTCTAATAACAGATGAAAGTAAGTAAATAGAACAGATTAGTGGCGGGTCTCATCTCTAGGATAATAGGCAGACTATAAATACAAATTCATACATTTGAGGTTACTAAGAGGTAAATAATTGAAAACACCATTTGTAATATAGTACTGAAAAACACCAAATTAACAGCATATTACTGCGTATTTTAGATATGTAATATTCCCCTAATTCATAGCACTTGTTCCAAACCAGAAGCAGAAAGAAGCAGATGTGCCAGAAACACTTCAGGATATTTAGGCATGTTTCTCTCACTGACCATTACCTTTCCCAGATAACGTTGGCCTTGCTTTCAGAACAACCTTTGATAATGTTATCTGAGACAGGCAGCATGGCTCCACTAAGGGCAGATCATGCCTGACCGATCTGGTGGTTTTCCACAATCAAGTGACAGCATGAGTGGACAAAGGCAGAGCAAGTGATGTCACTTACCTGGACTTTTGAAAGGACTTTAATGTGGTCCTATACTGTATCTTAATCTCTAAATTGGAGAGATATGGGTATGAAGGCTGGACTATTTGGTGGATAAAGAATTGGTAGAATTTTCTCATTGCCTAGCTCACATACTGTCCCATAATAGCCTCATATGAGTAAAACAGAAAGATGTGTAGAAGTAAAAATAGAAAGAGGCAACGCAAAAGCCATTTGATTACAGACAGAAAACCGTATGTGTATGTGCCCCTCAGCAGGATACACACCTGACCGTGATCTCCTGCTGTATCACAGAATCACAGAATTATAGGGGTTGGAAGGGATCTCGAGAGACTATCGAGTCCAACCTCCCTGCCAAAGCAGGCTCCCTATATGCCACTGTTTTGCCAACAAGTCATAGGACATCAATTAAGGTGGATAAATAATGCCTCTGTGCTTCACACAGTGTGGGTTGTGGACTGCATTAATTACAGGAGGCTACGACTAAAGATAAAAATGGAGAAAAACTGGAAAGAAATGCTGAAATGTGCAGCAAAAGCATCAGGAAAATGAAATCTGTGTGATAACAGAGAAAGGACAAGAAGAAAATGCACTTATCAGCAGATTGGCATGACACATCATTTTCTTTCTACACAACCAATCCTTTTATAGGAAACACTTAAATGTTTTCTAAAAGAATTAATAAATTAAACAGATTTTTTGATACTGCTGTCTCCTGCAATTGAACAAATACATCAGAAGTTGGTCAAAATCAGCATTTACACAATTTCCTAAAAAGGTAAGATGAGATATTATAAAGAAAAGAATCAAAAGTTACTAAACAATTTTTTGCTTCCTAAAGAGAGATGCTCAAGCTACCTCAATTTCAACATTAAAGGAGATGAAATACTGACATCCACTCATGTCAGTGTAGATTCTACTCCAAACTTCAATAAACTCAAATTTTCATCCCAAATTCTGACAGTTTTTCATGGAAGGGTAATACAGGCACATTTCTTTATTTAACTTTGTATAACTGCAGGTTACCTCTGGTCTCCCTGAAACCCCACTGCACAGCTAGTGGCAAACTGTGCATTCATATTATGAGTCAGAACAACAAATCGCATAGGAAAGTAATAATTCACATATAATAATTTTCTGCTAAACCAGCAAGATGATGCAACTTATCCTAAGGTCATATAATCATTAGATCTCACGCAAGGATGGAATGGACTGCAAAAGGTGGATGGAGAATAGTGATTTTTAGCAGTAATTCACTTTTAGATTGTATGAAATGAAGCCAAATATCATTAAGCTATTTCACTAGGCTGCATAAATCAAGAGCATTATGAAGATTGCAAAATTAGAATACCATATGAATATAAGAAGAACAGCATTATTATAAGAACAGCTTCATTGTACCTGTGTTTTCATTAAGGGTGTGAGAAAAGCAAGGTCTGTAGAAAGAGATACTGTATATTTCAGTATATTAGCTAATACAATTGCAAAAAGTGCTAAATTTCTGACAGCATCTTACAAGGTGTGAAAAAGACAATGCAAACTCCAAAATAAATATTAGAAAGGTTAATTAGACCACGTAACAGAAAAAGACAGGCTGGAACTTCAGAACTGAAATAAAATGTTGGCAGGGTCACAGGTAAAATGTTGTTAGTTCCTGGAATGTAAGAAAAAGTAATGAGGAATAAGTACTTATGGAAGAAAACAGAAACAGAACTATAGGGAAAAAATAATAGCAGAAATGTGAGAGGAAGACTGCAGTGTCTCACCTATGAGCAAATACCCATACGGTTAACTAGCAAATATAGAACAACAGATCACATGGGAACTGCACCTGAAAAAAAGATGCAGGCTGCACTGAAAATATGATGTCAAGGATCAATAGATTAAAAAATCCTGTGCTGAGAATGGAATAGGAAGAATGCACTCAGTCAGTTAAAGATCAAGGAGAAAGGGATGACAACAAAAAAATCTAAAGGAAATCAACGGCTTTAAGAACTAAAATGAATGAGACAGAAATTTTCAAATTATTTTAAGGAAGCTAGATCCATTACCAAATGAAGAAAAAAAAACAACCACCAACTAAACTAAGTTAATCCTTTAGCTATTTTTGGTTCATTTAAAAAATTCTAAGGAGAAAAAAAGAAATTAAAAATCTGCAACCAAAAATGGACAAGTTTGAGCAGTCACAGAACTAACAACTGTAAATCTAGTTACTAAAAAAAAGCAAAACACCAAGGAATTAAATGCTTGTCAACAAGAAACAAAGATACTAACATAGATGGTCTGGTTCTTTCCTCAATTGGTTGTGTGAAATGAGGCCAAGATTTTTTTTCTGCTCTGTTAAACATGGAAAGACCAAGAGGTATTCTTCCTACAGGATTAATTAACATAGCCTCTGTTGAATTCTTCTCTCATTGAGAATATATTTTCACGTTACTCAAAAAAATTAAGTGAAAGCTAAAATTTTTGAAGCAAAAGGTTGTATTTACTTCACTATACTCTGACAAGCAGACAGCACAATTAAGCACTAGGTCTAAATTAGAATTTACAGAAATATGCCAAGAGAGCAGTTCTAAAATACACTATTAAGTTTTATGTTATTTAAAAATGTTGTCCAACAGAGACATTGTGTTAATGACTTGGAACAACAAACATTTCTTGAAAAATTTATGTTTTATTCTGTTGAAATTTAAATTCTGATTAAGCACAATGGTAAAATTATGTCTTAAAACTAATATTTCTATGCAGAATTCATAATGGCTTTAATATGTTCCTCTTTTTTATTGAAAGCTAGCAAAAAATCACCCAACTAATAAATATATCTGCTAAAACTCAACATCTGTTTGCATTACAAAGCATTAAAAGTAAAACACATCAAGGAACTGTGTAATTTTTCTACCAACAGCTACTGCCCATAACATTTCTGCTCTGTATTTGCTACCTATGCTAGACAACACAAAAGACCACTCTCCTCCCTATAATCTACACTGAAAGACAACATCAGCAGAAATATTTGTAGTGTACAAGATATTCAGTTTTTCCACAGAATCCCAAAATGATAAAACAAATTACTGTCAAATCTGCTAAAAAGTAATTGGAATTTTCAGAACAGATTGCAAGAACAGTGTCAATATGCACAAACTTTTACCAAATGGAGATCCTCTGAATGCAAACTAGTGTAAACTGGGTGAGTAATTCATGCCACACATCCTAATGACACCTTAGTATGACCTTCAAACGCAGAGAAGGGTATTGTCACCTATTCTGGTAAAAAAGATAAACCAGTCCCAAGACCAGAGAAAGAAAAACCAGTGCTCCCAGTGTCCAAGAGATTCACCACCTGAAAAACAGATTCTGAGGAGGGAATGAAGGAGAGTGAGGATAACAATGACATTCTGATGATCTTCAATAATGAAATCTACCCATTTCACTGATTATTAAACTTTGTTGTCCATCTACCTTTGATCTAAGAATACAGCCAGAAATGACGGTGAGTGGGTCACAAGTGACATGGAGACTGTAAGACTCATCATGGAGTCTATAGATCTACTGATACTTTTATCAGCAGTGACAGATATATACTGGAAATGGTAGAATAGGTGTTATGGACAGAATGGCTTTGGCACCTTCACCTATGAGGTGATATCCAAGAATGTTTAGATACATGGCAATAGGTAAGCAAAGACAGAAAATAGCCCTTACAGAGAAAAGAAACATGCTGTAAAGACATACTGGATAATTCCTCCATATCTTACTGCAGTATTTATATATATGTCACCCAATTATATGAGCAAGAATGACTATTCAA